TATTTCACTTAAGCTTAGAGTGCATTCTCAATAGGTACGAGTGAATATTACAATCGATTACAGTGAAGTTGTTCTTGTGACGTTGGGGTTACATCGGATTCAATTTCAAATGAAGATATTCACTTGACTTTTCAAAGTGGACAATTCATTCTATATTGAGAGGACTATCAAGGCTACTGAGAGAACATATATCTAAGAAATATTTATTCGCGCGATGGATATTAATAACATATTTACTTATGCTAATATAAAATATTTTTCACAAATAAGAATATATATTTTCTTAAAATCTTTTCTGAAAATATTTTCTTAAAATCTTTCTTAAAAGCTTCTCACGTAATTGTTTATTTTATTTAAATAAAATAACTTAGGTTTAAGTAAGTATAACTTGAAGTTATGAAAAGCTATGGTTTTAAGAACAAGTATATTTCCTCCTTTGAGAAACACTTGTTCTCAAAATAAAAAAATATATATATTAGTATAAATAAATATGTTATTCGTACTCACCGAATATTTCTTCTTTTTAAAAATATTGTTTTTTCTCAGTGCGCTGTTTTAGAGGAATAGAAATTTTTAGTTCAAAGATTTATTATGTTCTTTAACAAAATAAATTCCGTCTATTTCTGTTCCCTACTAGAAAATGCTCCATAAAATATTAAACAGAATTTATACTTCTAATCTTTCTGCCTCTAATCACATACATAAATAGATAAAAATAGTCGAGTAACTGAACGAGGGATATTAATATCAATGATTTCCTTTGGATTTTCCAATATTTTTTTGCTGTTGTAACAGCTGCTTTGAATAAGTGACAAAGTCTTATGAAGTAAGTAACTTAGGTTTAAGTATATATTATTAGTACTCACTAAATAAATATTTTTTTTATTTTTTAGATATTTCTTCTCTTAGTATACGAGTGGAAAGTCCCTCGAATTCGATTGACTCTGTTATCATTCTACTTTTCAAATGGAATTTCATTTGAAACAATTTAGGAAGTAGAGTTATATGATGGATAAGATTGAAAATCATAGAATGCTCTAATAACGCGGGAAAAAAAGTTTAACTATCACAACTGAGCATGGTTTGCTGAAAAGGCACGTGTTGTTGTAACTAAAACTTTTATTATTGTTTCTTTTGCTATTGTACTGTATTGGTTTTATGCCTTCTGACAGCTATACTTTTAAGAATATTTATATGTTGCTACAAGATTTAGCTACCATATACAGATTTTTAGGTAATCTTTTTCTGTTAAATCGAATTTAAATTGATCAGCGCTCAGAAGATCTGTCTCTCTCTCTTTCTCTCAAAGAATGCTGAATAAATTATACAAAATTCCAAATCATATAAGGACAAAAGAGTCAAAATTGCAATTATTGTGTACTATAATTCAAAGATAATTTGAACTTAATAATGAGTTTATTCACTTTACTGCAACCTTCATTATATACTATGCGTTTTGTAATTTCTTGTTGATTGAAGAGGACCACATTACATGGTCGAAACGTTCCTGTAAAATACTTTATTTGTGTCTTTGAATTATAGCACATAATAACTGCAATTTTGGCTCTTTTGTCCTTGTATGATTTTGAATTTTATTTAATTTCTTAGAATCTTCTTAACCTTTGTTTAATTTTTGAATAAATTATATTTTAATAATAATAAATTAGTGGTTTACATGACACCTGGAATACATAGATATTACTATTATCACTATTATAACATCCTTATTAACCAGTACTTTTTCCAACAAGAAAAATATAATCGCATTAATATTTGGAAAATTAAGTCGCAGTTTGACATAATGCAAGATGTCAGGAATATCAGGTTGCATGATATCGCCCGTATTTTCCGAAAAGCCGAGTGACGACGAGAGAAGATTCACATGCTGGGTCGTGTGCTAGAAATATATATATACTGAGAGATTTTATTCTCCCCGGAGTACCCTCCATTCGAGGTATGAATGGGTCCGAATTTCTCACGTTTCATTGTGCACGGCTCGAACCTCGTCGTTCAGCTACCGGTATGTTACGCTTGACGACTTGTAATGGATACCAGTAGAAACACGTCTATGATGTTTCTTATTGTGTTCATCTTCGAACGTGAGTAACGTAATCTTATCTGGACATATTTGTACTTGAAAAATTGTGTATAAAGAAAGTACCAATGTTTATCTCTCCAATTCTCGATTATAGATGTATTAGAACCCGCGAGTGTTTCAAAATCTGGAACTTCACCAACAGCTAAACAGGTAATTTTAAATGTTCCCAGACAACATAATGTCTAAAATCGAGACATAAGACGTCTTAAAGATAATCTTTAAAATGCCTTAAAAACATTTATACGTAAATCGTCTGAAAGACATCTTAAAGATGATCTTTAAGACGTCTTTTGTCCCGATTTTAGACATTATGTTGTCTGGGTTATTTAATTTTACTTAGTTAATATTACTTCAATTACACAGGTCAACAAATTAAAGGGAATTTAATATCACATGAAACTTTATATTGATTTCCGAAGGAATTTGGTGCACTGAATCCAAATCTGGTCTCAGAATGGCGCTATCACGTCAGGATTTTGAGATATTCTAACCTAAAGGTACAAAAATGGCTGTTTTAAGGCATTATTGAAGTTTCCTCTTGGTTGCATAAAATTTTACCGACAAAAACTAAACAAAGTACCATAAAGTCTTGTTCTTCAATTTCTATTATCACGAATCTGGACTCAGATTTCCAAAATTCTTTTGGATTTGGAAATTTCATATTGGATCCGCCATCTTGAATTCTGAGTCCAGATTCGTGAGCAGCGACCTTCGGGACCCTTTAAACTACAAACTCTTTTTTCCAGAATTGCTCAAAACCAAAAGGGTTAAGGTATTTCAAATGAACCGACATCATCACTTTATTTGATTTTCTGTATACAGTAAAAACTTAAATCTGCTGTATCTCAGTGAAAAAAAAAATCCTATTGGACGTTCCAAAATGGAAATTGAAGGGCAAGACTCATACTTTACGGTACTTTGTTTAGTTTTTGTCGGTAAAATTCTATATAACCAGGAGGAAACTCCAATAATGTCCTAAAACAGCCATTTTTGCACTTTTAGGTTAGAATATCTCAAAATTCTGACGTGATGGCGCCATTCTAAGGCCAGATTTGAATTCAGCGCACCGAATTCCTTCGGGTAAACCTCTTACTTCTTTTGTGATAAAAACCTTGTAAACCTGTGTTATTAATATTGTTTCAAAAGTATATTTGATTAAAAATTTTTTATCGTAATCTTTGCTTATTCAAAAGTCAATTAAAGCAGTTAACGTAGTAGAGGAGACCGGGGCTATATGCTCTATATTTTAGAATTTCGAAGTATTTTACAACTTCTCAGACAATTGTTATGATTGACTGTATAAACATGGTAGAGCTAACCTCTTTTTATGTATCAATACCCGCCAAGACTCCGTTAATTTTGTTTTGTAATAACCAAAATATGAACATGCAGCAACATAGCCATCTTGCCCTGATATTGAATTCAGTTGCTCAGGAGTGTCGGGTAAAGAATATAAAATATGTATCCTGATTAATAGTTCCAGAGTCTCCCCGCGAGAGGTCTCCACAGCCCTTCTTTAGGCCCTTAATTATGAGCCAACTTTATCTCTTTCCCCCTTATGTTCGATTTCAATCATTTTAAGATTGCACTTATTAGCAAAAACAGTATATCATACACTTGCAAAAAAGTCGTTCTAGCTAATAATACACCGCTTGATTTTATTCAGTTACGATGGAGAATATTAGTAGAAAATTTCGAGAGGTTCGAAAATTTACTTTGCTATTAACAAATCAATTCTTTTTATTTCTTAACTGTAATATTATTTCGATTTTAATGAGACTCAGGGAAAAATATTTATGTTCTTAAAGGACCATTTCACGATTTTGTACCTATTATTCTTCTCAAGATAAACACAAAAAAACATATGAGCAGTATACCTCTGCCATATAGCCCCGGTCTTCCATATACATCGCCTCAGAACTTGAGAACTTGAAAATTTCTACAACTGAAGGACTGAATATCGATCTGTTTTCTCCTGAGATTCGCAGATACAAGACGAATGAAAGGAATGAAGATGCGATATCGATTAGAATCGGCAAGAAAAGCCTGAGAACGTAACATTTTGTCGATGAGATATTCGCGCGGCACAGAGGGAGAGAGAAAGAGAGGCCGCGGCCAACGGAGGTTCGCCCGTCGCCTTCGTGCAATTACATCCAATTGTGGCAATTTAGTCCAATTGACGTTAACAGGCTCAATTGGCGAGCCCTCGCTGCGGGCAGCACCGGCGTCGTTAAACGGTCGACATACCTACGACGTAAAAAAAAGCGGATGACGCGTGCAAGAAGAAAAAGAAGAGGTCCGCCAATGTTCAGAGGTCGGCCGCATCCGCCTCCCCCTACTTCCCCCTCTCTACGTATTTTTCTTTCGCTGTATTGCAAATATGTACATGTGTAGTATGTCTGTCTATTTAGTAATTGTATATACACAATTTATATTAAATATTTTTACTTACGAGCATACGCAACAAACATTCTTTCTCTCCCCCTCTCTCTCTCTCTCTCGTTCATACTTTATCTCTCTTCTTTCCTAACAATCTATTGATATTAGGAATGTCCGTGACGTAAGACAAAGACGTGATGCTTCACGACAAATACTTCGTGTGATATAAAACACACTTCGCTTAATACTTCTCGTGAAATACTTCGCCGGATGCTTTGTTCTTTAGTCCGACATGGTTCTAACATAAAATTTGTCCACAACTACTTGAAAAGATATCTCATAATCGCGCGATATTTCTCATACGAGGTAAGTAAGAGGTTAACACGGTGATCAGAGGGTAGCATATAATTTTTACGGCGTGGTCAACGTCTCGTTAGTGCAGTTCCACAACGAGAGAGAATAAAACTCACACAATTGCCGCACTAGGACACCGCGGGTATCGAAGACCGGCGATTCTAGCAGGCTGGAAGCCCCGAAGAGGTGGAGTTGAAGAGGCCGAGCCACTTCGCCCCTACCCCCAGTGTGGAGGAGGGGGCGACAACGTATCGCGCTCGTGTTCTTATCTCTCCTCGAGCTTCATGCTTGCCGACCAATCGCCGGAAGAGAAGAGAGGTAGGGGAACTTCCTTTTCGCGCCACTAACCACACTGCCGTTCTGCACCGGCGTTCGTCCTTCTCTAGCGTGTTCGCTTGTTTTTCTCGCGCGGCAGTTTCTCGATTTCCATAACATACCCAACATTCAAATTCACAACTTTCCTGAAGCCTCGGAAGTCCAACTTCCCGAAGTAGCGAACCTTATTCCACAACTGGAACTGTCAGACCTTCGCGAGGAACAAGAAGAATGCTCTTCGTCTCACCCGAGGACAGTCTCGGTCGTCCCCTCATTTCCCCGTATCGCGTTCACACGCGTGTCCAGTTGGAATAAAGTTCACTGCTTCACACGCAGAGGCTGCGTATACACGGCGCGAAGAGGCTACTGTTCAAGTCGCGCGCTTCCGGTGCGCGACGGCGGCGCATCCGGTGACGCGCGAAAACACGATGGCGGATGGCGAACAGCGAGGGAAGTCACTGGCGAGCGCTCGCGTGGGCCAACTCTTCGCGGTCTTCCTTGTCTTCGCCAAGGTCGAAGCTCGAACACCTGGTCCCTGGTGTGACATCGCTTGACGACACCGTGGACGACACCGTGGACGACGCCGTTGCCGTCCAGCTGCCATGTTTACCCGTGGCGTTCGCGCGGAACGAGATGCAGCCGCGGCGGATGCCGAAGAGAAAGTCGCGGCGGCGCGGAGGGTCAGTGCAGGAGGCGACCCAGCAGGCGTGTTACTGCAGCCCGGCATCACCGGGCCTTCACTTATATCGTCGCTCGGCTAATAACGCTAGTAATGTGATATGATTAGCTTAGTTGAGTTCAGTTTAGTTCGTATTCGTTCAATTTAGTGGTTCGCCAGCAAAATCACATCGAGTTAAACCCATTTAGGCCAGTTAAGTTACCGACTTCTCCTCGTTCTCTTGCCGGCCGGCCGGCCAGCCGGGGCCGCAGCCTCCACGGCCGCGGGCGCATCCCCCGCGACGCACGGAAGTACCCTCCGGCCCGGGACACCCCTTCTCTTTCCCATCCTCGAGGCCCGCATCGCTCCCGGCCGTCGGCGTCGCCGCGAAATTGGAAATTAACCGCGCTCCGCGGGAGGTGTGCCGTCAACGGACACCTCGCTCCCCAAATAGACTAAAGTTGGTCGTTGATCAACGTGAGGGTGACGTTGGAATGATCAATTTTACGTCACGATATGCTCAGCGTTCAGAATCAGTTCGGCACGACTTATCCGCGGTTTCACGATACTCACGATGCGTCCGATAATGCACAGGATGTCCGGACTTGGGTGTAGCAACACTCGTGTGCAAGTAAAACTGGTCAAACTCAGAATTGTGAAAATATTAATTAAATTTTTCTCAATTTAATAATTGGTTTGAACAAATATGTTTCAATTCAACTAGTTAACGATTGATTCAAGCAAAATTAATCAAAGAATATTTAATTGACGATTAATTTCAACGAATTCAATTAAAGATCATTTAATTGACGATTGGTATGAGCGATGGGTATCAAAGATTGTTCAATTAATAATTGAATTTAGCAAATTCAATTAAAGACTGTTTAATTGACGACTGAACTTAGCAAATTTAATTAAAGACTGCTTAATTGACGATTGATATGAGCAAATTCAACCGATTCAATAGAAGAGCGTTTGATTATTACAATTTGTTTTGATAATATTCATCATCGTGGCATCGTGGAAAATGTCCATGATTGAGTAGGATCTATGTTGGAACACAGAATAACAATTGTTAGCAAGCAATCTTCGAAATATATGTGATATTATATTTGCAATCGCGATTTAGCTGAAAAACTGACGTCTGATTCTAAATTTAAATCTAAGTGTCTCACCTGGGGCAAGTTTTAAGTAACAACTATTAATATGGGCCTAAAATATGTCTTACTTAGGCTGCATTCGCTTTGGGCGCTTATGCGCTGTAAGCGTCATTCTATCTTCTTCCCGCATATAATAAGTGATAAAGATAGAATGACGCTTACAGCGCGAAACGCCCAAAACGAACGCAGCCTTATTCAGATGACCTTTACACGTCTTTAGGCCGTCTGTATCCATCGTTGTTAGACGATCAGAAGTCGCGAGAACTTAGCTAATCGGATAGATCGAGTGTTTGGGTGTCCGCTAGTTGTCTAAGGCCTATATTGATAATTGCTTGAAATTTATCTCACGTGAGAAACTCAAATTTTTATTCAGAATTAGATCTGAGTTCTCTTCTCAGTTGAATTATATGATATACATATGACATAATACCTGTAATCGCGATTCAACTGAGAAACTCTAATTCTGATCTAATTCTGAACTCAAATCTGAGTATCTCATTTGAGAGAAATTTCAAGTAACGACCACATACTTCTATATGCTACTAGACTGCTAACTCCCCAATGAAAAATTTTTCATATAAAATTATATAAAATTATATAAAAATATATATAATTATACATAATTATATATTATTATGTATCAAATTTGTCCATTCATGTCCATACATTCTACTTATATATGTAATTATACATAATTATGTATAATAATATATATAAATTCATATATAATTTTACATAATTACGCATAGATTTATATGTAATTATATATATTGTTATACATAATTGTGTATAATTATATATAATTTTATATGATTATATATAATTATACATAATTATGTATGGACAAATTTCATACATAGTTTTGCATGATAAATTTTTCATCGGGTCCCTAGTTATAAATAAGGCAAAAAGGGTTACCGGACATAACCCATAAAAAAAGAAGGGACAATGTTGGCCATCTTAAAATCTCTAGGTTCCATAAATTCATTTTTGAAAGTTAATATCACTGTTGCACGTTAGGAATATGTATAGAGGTGTAAAAGTTTCCTTGTGCCGCGCGTGGTCAGCTATGTGACGATGTCATTAAGTGAGTGACAGTTCATCCGAGTGTTAGGTTAATACACAGCATCTCCAAATTTTTTATTGTTTATATATTTGTGTATAAACGATGCTTATGTGATATTTTCCTCTCGTTCTCTTCATAAATTTTGTCCGAAAATATCACACGGCGGATATTTCGCAACAGATTTAAAAGAGATATCAAAGATATAATACTGTTAACTTCTTAACCTAACACTCGGATGAACTGTAACTCACTTAATGACATCGGCACATAGCTGACCACGCACAAGGAAACTTTTACACCTCTATACATACTCCTAACATGCAACAGTGATATTAACTTTCAAAAATTAATTTATGGAACCTAGAGACATTTAAGATGGCTAACATTGTCCCCTTTTTTTTATAGATTTTGTCCAGTAACCGCAAAAAGTGACGGCCATTTTTGTTAAGGCACTCCAAATATTCACATATTAATTTTACCTTAACCTAAAGATGGCTGCCACTATTCATACTACATTAAAATTTTGCCTCACTTTTCTACAGGCCGATTATAGGGAGTTAGCAATCTAGTAGTATACAGAAGTTTGGTACACTGAAAAAAAAAGTTTGGTAATACCAAATGCGTTTTACCATACCATTTGGTAAATAATAACCAATATGGTAAATGTTACCAAATGTTTGGTAATCAAAATTGTTAGTTTACATTAACTTTCATATAGTAATATTTATTTCTTATATTTAGTTGATATTATTTCACTAAATGTAGTAATTATAACACAGGCTGGATAATTATTACCAGAAATTTTTCTCAGTTTAACGACTATATTGATATGAACTTAAAGTCAGATCTGAGTACCCCACCTGAGGCAAGTTTCAGGTAATGATTATTAATACGGGTCTAGGTCCGAACAATTAAGCATCCAGATCGAGGGATAAGCATCTGTCGTGTTTTTACGTTCATCCTGTCTCGGAATGGCGGAACTACTCGCGATGACGGGTCGCACCCGCATCCACGCACACCGTTCGCCGAAAAAGACCTTATATTAATTGCTGCTTCCTTCATGCCGGTTATACCACCCCCGCTATCGATTCTGTTTCGAGATAAAAACTATCGGCGGATACGTACACCGTATTGTGGGGGTAAATTTTATATGGAATATACTACTTGACCTCTTCAATAATTGGATCATAATTTTCGATGATTAAGTCTTTGGAAGCAAATGTACGTGCCTGTGCGAAATTTTCACAGTTCACAGAACGTCTACAGTAAACTTCCGACAAAATGTTTATAGATGAAATATCTGAACAAACATATTAAGACATCCGATATTCCTATTAATAATTTGCAGAAAATTGTAACTTGAAGAAAATAACGAAAGACAGAATGAAGACAAGAGTAGTGATTATATAATAATTTTTCTCTGTTAGGTATAGAAACGTGAAAATAAATAAATAAGTAAATAAAAATCTAAAGTTTTCTCTTACGTGAGCTTAATAATTTTGCGATCATGTAACTCTCCAAACTATAGAAATGTGAAACTTTCTGCTTTTTTCGTTTCAGGTCTTAGGAAAAAGCAAAATTATTGAATAACTCATTACATCGCTGTTTCCGTTACTTCTTTTTTTTTAGTAATGACTTGATAATGGTATTACTGTTTTTTATTATTGTTTATAATTATTACTTTTATAGTTACTTCTCACATATAAAATATATCTATAAGAGATAGGTAGCGGCGAAAAGCAAGGAAGTTTTTTAAAAGTGGAAAAAGTAATGAAAATTGTAATAACTCGTTACTTTCTCTTGAATAATGATAATAATAACGAATTATTTCTCAAGATGAGTACAAATAAATTTTTTAATATTTTTTTCAATGTATTTATTACAAATTTTAAGAATGTATTACTATGTATTCTAAAAAAATTAATTTTTTTACAAGAATATTATAAAATTTCGTCGAAGAAAAAATGAGTTTAATTCTACATAATATGTGAACCAAGTTTTTGCTTTAATTTAATATTCTTCATTAAAATAATAAACTTACTAAGATTCAGAATGTATTCTTTTGAATAAATATGATGCTGATGATGAACTTGTGATAGATTTGCGGATATATAAACTTATGAAATATATGAAACAAATAATATTTATATATATACTGGAATGCAATATGTATTTTTTATAATGTTTATGACAACCTGGGAAAAAAGTTCATCATATAAAAATATATATGATTATATATAATTATATGTGAATTTTTTTTGTCCATATATGTGTGATCTTATATATGACCATATCTAATTATATGTCCACACATAAAACAAATATTGTTCAATGAAAAAGGGGAAATGATTTAATTTGATTTAATTAAGCGTCGATATCATGGGCTACCACAAATATAAGCATTTACTTTGATTGTTTCACAACGTCATACTTTTCAATGTGGGCATATATAATTATATATGATTATTATTATAATTATATAATCATATATGGACAAAATTGATATATAAACTTTCTTTTCCCAAGAAATTACTTTTTTTCGACGAGTAACGGCGAATAACGAGTAATACGGCAGGAGTTACTTTGAGAAAGCAACTTTACTAGCCCCGAAAAGGAGTCACATGATCGCCACCAAGACGACGCGAAGGTGGCAATAAGGTCGATCGGCGACCAGTCAAGGGGGTCACAGTGTGGCAAGAGAGAACGGCGACCGCGAGGAAATCGGCGCGGCGCGCGCGCGCTAATTACCAACGACGAAATTAGCGGTTAATATACGCGCGTACACACGCGGAACGGGGGGTAGTAGTTTGATTGGGCCAATTCGAGGCAATTCCTGGCGATTGCTGATTTCATTGAGCTTGCGCTTAAGAGCTCTCAGTGCCACGCCGCCGGCCAACCGACATGGATCTCATCTCTTCGAGGCGACCAAGGTGTGCACCGCGTCGCGGCACCCTCCGTGATCTCGATCGTCGCCTACTGGTCGGTATCGGTTGATAATCAATCGTTCATTTTGCACCGGACCGTCACTGAAAGCTGCGAATTCTTGTGGTGAAACGAAACACGTGTTATGGATGTTCACACGACGAATGTGACGCATATTAATTCGCAGTACACGGTTCCACTTGATCCCAAGTGTAGTCTTTCAATTCTCAGCCTCGTATCAGACAATTTACGGGACGCTTTATAAGATATGTTGCTTAGCTGCATCAAGTTACACTATATGTGCACTCAAAACATGAAGTAGATACACATTTGCTACTTGGTGGAAGAGAGAAGAAAATAAAGAGTTTAGAAAATAGTTCAGAAAGTGCAGCTATAACGAACAGACCTATTGATCTTGAAGTATATTTCCACGCACGTCGTTGATGACCTCATCACATAGCTAGAATGAAACGTCTAATGGATTCCATCTAAGTTCTTATTCTGAAGTTTAAGTAACATTTGACGTTACGTGTGCAAGAATCCTATATACAGCATCTATGAGTAGATTCTCTTCGCAGGAGTCAAAGGAGATGCGACATCATACTCCACTACGTCAAAGGAAGATTCCGGAAGGATTTGTATGATGTGGGATGTTCATCAAGACAAGAATGTACATGTTACTGTGTTATAACGGAAAGGTGCAAATAAGAATCACTAAACAATTAAGAGTTAGTTATAAGAGAGTTAAAAAAATTCATAACAGAAGTGCAAACGGAACTGGTGAATTCAAGATAAAATCGAAGCACAATAAGAGATCAACGCGACACACCCTCACTTCTTTACAGCCATGAAAAGGAATCCACAGCCTTCATCAGTACGTAAATCGAGAAAATCCTATCTAAGAGTCAAATTCTTAATCGTACATTGCTAATTATTAATCGACAAGACAGAAACGCAACAACCAGGTTGAGAAGACTGACAATTGGAACAAAGCTCGGGCGTTCCTAGTTAAAATATTGAAGAAGAAAAGAACAAAACCAGGTTAACTCCACCAGGTTCTCAGGCCGGAGAGTACCGACGCACTTTCTAACTGATTCCCACGAGTTCAACTTGCCAACCCCTGCGAATGTTCACCTCACACCCTTCTCGCCCGATCTACCCCGATGTGCAGACAGCGAAGCTTTTTTGCGCGCAGGTCGGGGGCGGTCGCTGCGGCCAGACTCGCTCACTGACTGTAGGGCCCGTGGGGGGATGGGTGCGGGAGTTGTGAAGGAAGCAGTGACGGTGGACCAGAGTGAGGCAGCATCACCGCGCCCGCATGGAACGCGGCGACGAGGCCGATCGGGCACCGCCGGCCAGGATTGGCCGGGGCCCGAGTATGGGGGCGGCCTGGCCGGCGCGTCGTCGAAAATATAAGCCTGTGTGAGTGGCGGCTGATTAGCCAGAGTCCGGGACGGAGTAGTGGCGCGAGAGTGGTGTCCCGATAACGAGAAGAGAGGACACGTTCAGGGAGAGAGCGAGCGGATGCGCACGGGGAGTCGGCTCTCCGCGGCTCGCACAGGCGGAGAGGTGGTGTGAAGCAGCAACAGCACGTCGTAGTCGTAGTCGTTCCCGTCGTTGTCATCGTCGGTTCAGTCGGTCTACCAAGGTCCCGTCCGATCGGCGGGACCAACGAGCGCATCAGTATCGTGCGAGTTAACGCCGCTTAAAACTAATCAAAATTAATCACAAGCCGGCCAACAATTGATCGCAATTGCCACGGACTTCGTGTTATTGTCGTCGTCGTCGTCGTCGTCGACGTCGTGGCCATCGTCGCGGGTCGTCACGGTGTGCGTATGAACGGACAATCGGCGATTTGCTTCTTCCTTCTTCCGCGACGAGGCCGGCCCACCGGGAAGCGGCAAGAGCCGCTGAAGCAGCGCGCTCGATTATGAGCCGCGAGAAGCAGTCAACGGTCGGCGTTGCTCTGGGATTTTAATTTAATCGAGGTGGTCGACACCCCGCAATCAAAACCTACTCTCGACCGGCAGACGTCAGTTGATGGAGGCAGTGAAGAGGAAGAAGATACTTCACGACAGATTACTTCATGAACGCAGCGAACGATGGACTACGACAACCGTAATTGCATTTCGGATTAACCGGCTCAATTAATTGGGATCCAATCACCTGCAATTCGGATCAATCGTTAGCGCTGGTGAACGTTATCAAGGTTACCGTTCAGTGGCGAATATCCGTATGCTTCACCGTTTATGGACGTTCCAGAGGATTTCGATACTTCGCAGCCACGTCGGAATATTCGATTGATCCCAATACGTTCCCGCGATTTTCTATTTTCGGGCAAGAGGATTTTCGTCGCGTCTCTTCACTGATCCGGAAGAGTGCATTGGACACATCGATTTAACGGCAACTGGTAGCTCCGAGACGTTAACTTGAAGTCATGATTTCATGGGAGACGCCTTCACACGAAGCCCTTCGGGAAGAATCAGTCACCAGAAGTCGTTAGAAGTGCGAATCGTTCTGAAACGTCACGATCCGATTGCAGTACAGCTGAAGCCTCCCAAATTCCCGCTTCAAATTAAGGGGTCGTAATTATACGTCACTCACGACGAAAAACACTTTGTATTTAAACGACGCTGAAGAGAACCACCTGTGAAGATGGATGGCGCTCCCTTCGACGACCCGATCTTCTCGGACTTCGGAGCGCGCGGCGGCAGCGGGGTCCACAGCATCCAAGTGATGTTGGGCCTGCACGGCGGTCATCACGGCGGCGATCTGATGCCGAGCGGCGGTCACATCCACAAGCTAGACTCGCCCAACAGCCCGTCGGCGCATCATCAGCATCATCAACTGCAACAGCAGCAACAGCAACAGCAGAAGGAGCTGAAGGAACTCGAGTTGTCCGGCATGTACGCGCCTATGGCGCAGGCCCAAGACGTCACGACGTCCACGACATCCGGCAACGTTACGCCGACCTCGACGACGCTGCAGCAGGGTCTGCAGCTGGGTAATGCGCTCGGCAAGAGGAAACCGGACGATCCCATCAACGCGCTCGCTCCTGGTAGTGTAGACCTTCATATCCAGTTCGCTTCAAAATTCTAGATTTCAGATTTAAGGTCATTTTTACCAAAGTAATTATACTGATCGTTTTAGTAATCTTGCAGGATCCCAACTGAGCTGCTATTGGAGAAAAATGGGAAGTGAAGAGTTATAAATGTGGATTAGCAACGTTACAGCTAAGCATAAAAATGCCTAACCAAATTTTGTTATATTAGGACGTTAGGACTTTCATGTTTAACTATACCCAGCAAACCACAAGTATCAGTAATATAACATTGATATTTGAATGTCAGCTCAACCATATAGTATTTCACGTAACTTTTACAAGTTATGCATATGTTATGTAACATGTAACAATAACATAACGAACTACATGGTTGTGCTGACATTACATATCTATGTTATATCACTGGTATATAAATATGGTGCAAGTTTGCTGGGTAGCGTCTTATCAATCTACATTTATAACTCTTCACTTTCCATTTTTCCTCAACAATAGCTTCCATTGGAATCCTGCAAAGTTGCTAAAACGATTAGTTTAATTGGGTAAAAGTGACTTTTAGAATGTCAGAATGTCAGAATAATTGAAGAAAAGAATAAATTATTAAGTACGCAAATTAATTATTCAATAAATTACTCACGTTTGGGAACCAATACGCTACTTGTAACGCCGTTATAAATTGCTTATTTTGACTTGGTAATAGTCTTTTTTGTCAGTAACGTTTTAAGATAACGTAATAACATTGTCGTCACTTTTGTCGTTACATATATAGAATAAATATACGTGGAAACAAACAAAGCAAATTGTGAAAAAAGAATAATTAAACTTGATGAGAAGAAGATAACAGAAATTGTAACGATTCGGCATTTTTTGAGCAACAACAACGAGCAACGAGTTATTATTTCAAAACAAGTAACGAGTTGCTTTTCTTAATGAGTAAAGAGCAGGGTTGGGAAATAGCACGTTACTGTTACAAATTACCCATTTTCGATTATGACTTAGTAACGGCGTTATCTTGTTTTGACAATAATGGCAACGTTAACGCAATCATATTTTCTGAATAACGGTATCGAATATAATTATTACTTTTATCTTTGATTTTCCACATATAGAATACATCAATGTATTTTATTTACTGTTTATTTACTCATTTTATACAGATTTGAATTGTAAAAAGAGAAATCTTTAAAAAAGTAACCGAAACTTGTAATGACTCGTTATTTCTCGAGTAACAATAACAGTAACAAATTATTTTCCAAATTAAATAATAGTAAGGGAATTACTTTCGTTAGTGGATAACGAATTGCTTTTAAAACGTAACTTCCGCAATCCCATGAATAATTCAAATGTGTTACTGTCGCAGTCAGTAGCGAAGCGCAGCCGGCCAAGAAGGACTCGAAGAAGAAGACTGACAGTAACAACATTAAGAAGAAGAAGACGAGGTACTTGTACGACGCGCGAGAATGCGTTAATTTTTTCCATTTTTAAAGTATATACTTCGATAATTCACGTCCGACTTCTTCTTCTTCTTCGCTCCAGAACGACCTTCACGTCTTTCCAACTGGAGGAATTGGAAAGGGCCTTCGAACGGGCGCCTTATCCGGATGTGTTTGCACGCGACGAGCTCGCGATGAGGCTCTCCCTGTCGGAGACACGCGTGCAAGTGTGGTTTCAGAACCGTCGCGCGAAGTGGAGGAAGAAGGAACCGCCGCGCAAGACTGCCGGCTACATGGCCGCAGGATCGGCCAGCCCCGGTCTGTCAGGTATATTTCTATCGCAAAAATTAATTCTCTCTATGCGTCTCGGAGGATCTGTGATTCCATCGTTCAAAAAAAAGAGTAAAAAAGAATATTATAAACAAATTAATATTGATTCTTTTTATGTATGAATGATAAGAATCACTATAAAAGAACCTGAAGTTAAATAAAAGAATTGATATATATATATATATATATATATATATATATATATATATATA